GGGGGTGGCCGGGACCGGGCGCAGGTGCGGGTGCCCCCTTGGAGAAGGCGCGGGGCGGTCACCCTAGGAGCGCGGGGGGCCGAGGGGGCTATTTTAAGCCGGAGGAAACCTGAGTGTGCTTCGGAGGGAGCCAGCGGAGCGGGAGGAGGAGGAGGAGGAGGAGGCCCGTCAGCAGCCCCGGGCGGGCGGGGGGAGGGGGAGGGGCCCCCTCAGCACGGGGAGGGCGCGGGGGCTCCCCCGAAAGCCCCCGACTCCCAGGACGTGCCCCGCGGACCCACGGACAGGAGTGGAGGCGGGGTCGAGAAGCAGGAGAAGCAGGTGGCAAGGACGCCCGAGCGGAGGGCAGGGGACGGGGGCGGGGCTCGAGAGTGGGGAAGGCTGGGACCCAGCGGGAGGCGGAGCCCGCTGCAGTGAGCCCCCGGGGGACCGGCCTTGGCGCCCTCATCCTGCCCCGGGCTGTGATGCTCTTGGGAGGGGCTCTGCAGCCCTCGGGCCTAAATTCAAAGGTCGGGGAGTTGCATCCCTCCTGGGCTGAGATTCCAGCGAGGGGGGGGCGCGGGAGGAGTGACCCCGGGGAAGTGGAGGTAACGCTCCTGGACTGCAGCCCGCTGGAGGGGCAGGCGGTGGGGGCCGGGTGAGGGCCGAGGACAAAGAGGAGGGAGAGCCGGGCAGGTCAGGGGACCACACGTCTGAGCGCACCAGGTGGCAGCATCTGGAGCAGGAGCCCCACAGGCAGGGTGGCTCTGGGCCACCAGCAGGTGGAGGACTCACAGGTGGGGGGGGTGGCTGAGCGGCCACCCTCCTGGGGGACGCAGGACTCAGGGAAGCCTGTCTGCTGCGCGGGGTGGTGGGTCGGAGGTCCCACGTAGAATAGGATGAGGTTGCATTGTGAGCCTTCCTTCTGCAGCATTTGGTTTGGCCTCGGCATGACCTGTGCGTGGTGAGCGCTGGCACAGCGGCACAAGGGAGGGTGCTGGACAGAAGGAACCGGTGGGGTCACCGGTCACCAGAGGGAACCGCATTCCCACATTCTTCTGACTGGGGGCTCCTTGCCTCCGAGGCAGAGGGTGGTGGGGGCAGCTCAGCTTGGCCCCGGATCCAGGGAGTAGCCTTCCCCACCTGCCCTGGGCAAGGGCTCGGGCGAGGCCACCCCCGCCCCCCCACACACACACCAGAGCTGCTGGGGCGCCCACTCGGCTCCGAAATTGCTTCTCCCCTGACGGCCAGGATAGCCGGCTCCCCCGCGCCCCAACGTGGATTCTCATCCTCTGCCTCCGCCCCAGCCCCTCTTCTGCGCCCCAGCCCCTCTTCTGCGGAGCCTTTAAGTGGTGCCCTGCGGGGTGCCAGGCTCAGCCTCCTCGCACCTTGCCCCAATGGCCCCCTCAAACCTGACCTGTTCCCACAGCTCCACTTTCTGTCTCTGGCAACATCACGGTCCAGGTCTCTCTCTCTGCGGAGCGCCCAGCCCCGTACACCAATTGTCCACCTGACAGCTCCCCTTCCTACTCAAGGCACCAGAGCTGGGCTCCTGAGCCGGCCCCTCCGCCTGGGGCCCCTGTCTGCAGCAGCCACGAGCTGGCTTATGGCCACCCAGCCTCTGGTCACCCCAGGACTGAAACAGGCCTAAATCTGCTGAAGACACCCCCTTCCTTAGGGCCCTGTGGTTTGGGGTGTCTTGACATTCCCCACACACACTGTGAGTAGAACATGTGACTGAGGCCTAGACCATTCTATCCTCGAAGCATGGGACTTCAGGGTGAGTACACAGCCAAACAGGCCCCATTCAGCTGCTCCAGGGGCTTGGCCTGATTGACCTGAGAGATGACCCCCCCCTCTCTTTCCTGATAGATTTGAACCTGAGAGGCCATAATTCCAGCGTCCTGCCTCACGTGGAGGCTGAGAGAATAAGATGCGCACTTACTGTGCATTGCTCTGTGCCGGGCACCGGTGTGTGGCTCTCATTCGTCCTAATTTAATAATAATAATAATAATAATAAATAAATAAGCACTAGCTAGGCGCTGCCTTTCACCACTCTAAAGAGGAGGGAATCGGGTGCCTGGGTGGCTCAGTCAGTTGAGTATCCAGCTCGTGGTTTTGCCTCAGGTCGTGATCTCACAGGTCATAGGATTGAGCCCCGAGTCAGGCTTCACAGTCAGCACGGAGTCTGCTTGCCCCTGTCCCTCTGTTCCTGCCCCTATATGCTCTCTCAAATAAATAAATAAAATCTTTCTAAAATGGTTTCTTTTTTAAAAATTTTTATTTATTCATGAGGAACAGAGAGAGAGAGGCAGAGACACAGGCAGAGAGGGAAACAGGTTCCATGCAGGGAGCCTGACATAGGACTCGATCCCGGGTCTCCAGGATCATGCCTTGGGCCAAAGGCCACACTAAACCACTGAGCCACCCGGGCTGCCCAATAAATAACATCTTTTTAAAAAATAAAAAGGGGGGATCCCTGGGTGGCTCAGCGGTTTGGTGCCTTTGGCCCAGGGCACGATCCTGGAGTCCTGGGATCGAGTCCCACGTTGGGCTCCCAGCATGGAGCCTGCTTCTCCCTCCTCCTGTCTCTCTCTCTCTCTCTCTCTCTCTCTCTATCTCTCATGAATAAATAAATAAAAATTTAATAAAAATAAAATAAAATGGGCAGCCCAGGTGGCTCAGTGGTTTGGCCCTGCCTTCCACCCGGGGCGTGATCCTGGAGACCGGGGATCGAGTCCCGCGTCAGGCTCCTTGCAGGGAGCCTGCTTCTCCCTCTGTCTGCGTCTCCGCCTCTCTCTCTCTGTCTCTCATGAATAGATAAATAAAATCTTCAAATAAAAAATAAAAAGGAGGGAACCAAGCCACCGAGGGATGAAGTTCGTTGCACAGATCCCACTGCTAGTGAACGTGGTGCCAGCTGTGTGATTCCAAGCCCTTGCTCTGACCACTAGACTGCCCTGCCAGAGGCTGACCACAGAGTGGACCAAGCCACGGAGGGAGGAGAAATCAAGGCTGCTCATCCATCCAGTCGTCTGAGACTGGAGTCCTAGCAGGCGGAGGCCAGAGCTACCCCTAAGCTTTTCAGTCACAAGGCCCCATAAATTCCTGCTGCCCAAGCCAACTATCATTTGGGTTTCCAGTAAATTCAGACCAAAAAAGTCCTAACAGTTATCACGTCACCTGAGTGGGTGGTAGGCGTCTCCAGGCTCTCAGTGATTCAGGGCAGGAGCCAGATCCTCCCTCCTGCTTCCCCCTCATCCCTCACATCCAACTAGTGGCCAAAGCCTGAACCCCGAATGTCCCTGGGATCTGTCCCCTTGCTTTCCACCCTAGTCCAGGCCACTACTCCTTTGCCGGGCTGTGATGACGGCCTCCTTCCTGTCCAGTCTGCTCTCGCCCACCAGCTTTCCTCCCAATCCCCTGAGATCCAGATCTTACCGGGTCCGTTTGCAGCTTGAAACCCTCTAGCTGCGAAACCCGCCTCATTACCTCCAGGGAAATTCTACTCCGCAGCCACCACCTCTGGTCTCCTCTCCCTTCACGCCCTGCTCTACCTTCCCTGCTCATAGGGCACCCCCAGCCCCACACCCTCCGCACCTCTGTCCAGAACGCTCTTCTTCCCCTTCTTCACCCCTGTGCATGGCCATTCAGCACACCACCTTCTCCATGAGCAGGTCACTCTCTGCTCTTGGCTCTGTTGATGCTGGGCACTACTTTTTTTTTTTTTTTTTTTTTAAGATTTTAGTTACAGAGAGACAGAATGGCAGAGACACAGGCAGAGGGAGAAGCAGGCTCCATGCAGGGAGCCCGATGTGGGACTCGATCCTGGATCTCCAGATCACGCCTTGGGCCGAAGGCGGACGCTCAACCACTGAGCCACCCGGGTGCCCCACTTACTATTTTAACTTTAGTTTGGTGAGCAGTGCTCTTTACTGGACTGTGAGTTCCACAAGGGCAAGGGCAAGGGCTCCGGGTCATTCACCTGCTCACCCTCATGTCCCAGGGCGTGCCTGGCACAGAGCAGTCAGCCATCCAGTGAACACTCCTGGAAAAGATGAAGAACTGAAGTGTTCCCAGGAACAGGGTGGCCAGTTCTACATCTCTTCTCTGGGGATGGGCAGGTCGGGGGCAGGGGGGCAGGGGGGATGGGCAGGTGGGGGGGTAGAGGAGCGGGGGGGGGGGGGGGATGGGTCTTCTCTGGGGATGGGCAGGGGGGGCAGAGGGGATGGGCAGATGGGGGGGCAGGGGGATCAGGTGGGATGGGCAGATGGGGGGAGGGAGGCCAGCGGGATGGGCAGGTCAGGGGGGAGAGGAGCCAGGGGGGATGGGCAGGTGGGGTGGGGAGGCAGGGGGGATACCATCCCATGATAATTACTGGGTAGAAAACCTTTTATTGGGACACCTGGGTGGCTCAGCAGTTGAGCATCTGCCTTTGGCTCAGGGCATGATCCTAGGGTCCCGGGATTGAGTCCCACGTCGGGCTCCCTGCGTGGAGCCTGCTTCCTTCTGCCTGTGTCTCTCCCTCTCTCTCTCTGTCTCTCATAAATAAATAAAATATTAAAAAAAAAACACCCTTTTATCTATGGACAAGTACATTACCCATTTGATCCTCACAAGGACACTGTTGCCCCCATCTTACAGATGACGGGACGGAGGTTCGGGATGCTTTACAGCCTAGAAGTCGGTCACACGCTCACAAATCCCAGTGTCATCTCAAAGCACCCCGCGTTAGGGCTGCACTGAGACCCCGACACAGCGGCGGCAGCGGGTGGGGTTCTCGCCCAGCCTGCCACAGGGGGGCAGCCGAGCGCTGGCATGAGCCTCCCGGCCGCCCTGGAGAGACTGGCTCTGGGTGTGAAGGGCAGCAGCCACCCCTAGGAGAGACCCGGGCAGAGGGGCTGGGCTTGCTCTTTCAGCTAGAAACAGTTCAACCTGGACGGTGGGTGGCATTCGTAGGCCGCTGCCACTGATGCCAAGTGTCTAGAGCTGGAAACATAGACTGCGTACCCCAAACTTGCATTACCAACGTATTTAATAACAAGCCACGGGAAGTGATAAGGCATGGCTGAGGGCTGGGGCACCCGGCGTCTCCAAATGGCCAACACTGACCCACAGCCCTCGGCTGGGACAGGTCAGTGGCCTGTCGGACCACAGCAGCCCGGTACCAGAGATGGGACAGGGGCTGCACTCCTGTCCTCGGAGGCCTGCAAGTCGGGGGGCATGGCCAGCATCTGCTGCGCTGGGCATCCAGGATGTATGTCCACCGCGGCGCCCCAGACGTGCAGCGGATGCTCAGGGGGCTCCCCCATTCCTGGAGCGCTGACCTCCCAGGCCCACATCCACGGGTACAGCAGGAGGCTGAAGGGAGCAAACCAGAGGCAGGGCTGAGTGCAAGGATCCCAGGGGGAGGCCTCCCCACAATCCAGCCATCTCCCAGGCTCGTCTGCACGGCTCAGGGACCAAAGGTAGCAGGAGTTCCCCGGCGCTGCAGGCTGGCGACGGAGCTCTCTGGGAGACAGACCACGCGAGGCTGAGCAAGGCTCGAGAATCTGTAACAGAGAGCCCCCCTCCCCGCCCCGGCTCTGCTGCAAAGGGTGCTGTACCACGTGGGAGCCGAGGAATGCACTGGACAAGTGCCGACAGCCCTCTCCACCTCATGCCGAAACTCATGGGCCACAGGAGTGCAGGCCAACGGAGCGTGCTGGGGGTCCCGATGCCCAGCCTTGCTCCTTGGCACTCGGGCCACACCCACTCCCCCACCTGTCACTCCAACCTGAGGCCTGAGAGATGGCAAGACAGCAGCACTCGTTCCTCAATTTCCTGAATCTTTTCCCTCCCCACTCAGTCTGACAGCCTTGGCCAGGGTCAGAGTTCCTTAGCAAACATCTCCGGATCTTCCCCCAGGAACACCGAGGTCCCCGGCACAGGCCCGGTCCCGGCTCTCCAAGCGCTGAGCTAAAGGGACAGCAGAGGCAGGAGGTTGGATAAAGAAAGCCTCTGCCTACACCCGCCCCCCTCCCCGCCCCAGCAGACACATGCCGCTGGGGACACAGCCCTTCCTCCACCAGAGCTCTCCATCCCCCTCCCTGCACCCAGACTTGAATCCAAACGTGATCCAGAAGTCATCACCCTCACCTCCCATCCCTCTGCTCTGTCCACTTGGCGTGTCTTCCACAGATACATGTTCCAGGCGACCCTCGGAGCCCGCCCCCAGCCTCAGGATCATGCCTGAGAGCTGAGCCCAGCCGGCTGGGGAACAGCTGCCAGCAGCTGGAAGGTTGTACCCAGCAGTAAAAGGCTATGTAACGAGGCCACTGGGGAAGAAGGGTCGGGAAGGAGGCAGTAACGTGGGGGTTTGGGGTTCCAGCCCCAGAAACCATATGCCAAATGGGGGTGTGCATGTGACGGTTCCTTCCTTCACGGAGAGAGGATTTTGCATCAGCATCTCGGGGAGTGGTGGGAAACCAAGGAGGACAGAGCAGGAGTAACTGAAGGCGGGGGAGCTTCTCACTCAGGGATGCTGGCCCCCCCAGCTCCGAATAGGGAGCCCCAGGGTTCAGCTCCCGCGCTGTCATACACTTGGGCCTGCCACTTCTTCTCTCTGAACGTCCCCATTTGCAAAATGAAGGGTTCACAGTGGATATGGAAATTCCTGTAGCCCAGGTGGGGAAGGAGAGGAGAGCACAGGGTGGAGAAGGGGTAGACGAACACCAGGACGGTACCAGGCAAGGGGGCGAATGAGCCCGGATGCAATAAAGAGGGCATTCTCAGCCTGCTCGGGCCACGGAGCAAGGGGAGGTGGCCAGTGTCGCCCAGGTCCAGCTGCTGCCCTTGTGGAGCAGCACGAGGAGTCACACTGCCCCCCCTCACTGCCCTGGCCAGCCCTCTCTCCAAGGGGGTGGCAGTGGCATCCCTGAGGTGACAAATCCACAGCTCAGCGAAGCCAGCGTGGCACAACTGCCTGGGATTAGCGCTAAACCCCGGGCTGCTGGGTGCCAGGATCACACCTCGTCAGCTTCACAGCTGCTCCGCCGCACCCTGCGCGTGCCCTCACCTTCCCCTCACCAGCCTCCCCGGGGAGCTGGGACCTGGCCTCTGCCCTTGGCGAGCAACGCGTCAGAGGCGCCCCCGAAGAAGAGCCCCACAGAAACGTCCCAGGGGCCCACAGGTGTGACGCTGAGCAGAGGAGAGGGACCCAGAGGGCTTCCCTGCCCAAGCCCCGTGGCTCTACCCAAGGTGGCCTTGGCCTGGAACTACCTTGTCTTTAGGCCACCCAGGCCCTTCACTCCAGATGGTTCTTGTCCTTGGAGAGTCAGGGGCGGGAGAGCCAGATGGAGCCCGCACAGCTGGGAATCCTCAGCGCCAGCCTCCTCGGGCCACGTGCTTCTGAGGCCCCCCGGCTGTCAGGAAGCTTGCCATCCACCACCTTCCCCACAAGGCTCCTCGCTGGGGCCACACCTGCCCCCCTCCACACACGCAAGGTCAGGGGCTGGGGGAGGGGGTCCCCGCCAACCCCTCCCTCCCCCTCCCTCAGAGTCACCCAGGCCCCTGGCTCTGCCATAAAAACAGGACCCAGGCTCCCGCGCCTGCCTCTAAGGGGAGGCCACAGTGAGGAGTCTTACCCAAACCCCCTTCTAGGGACAAGCTTGAGGAAGAGGAGGAGAAGGAGGATGCAGAAGCCAGGGGCACGGGCCGCCGCCAAGTCCCGTGTCCTGTGTGCCAGGTAGGGCTGGAGCAGAGCCCCACGGGGTAGCTGCGCACGGAGGGCTGCAGAGCTCACCCGGCCCGCAGATGCACAGAGCAGATGCGTCCTCCCACCCGCCCCGCCACTCCCTCGGTCCGGCCCACCTGGGGGGCTGCAGGCCCCACCCGCTGCAGGTGCACAGCCCCACCGGCCCGGCTCACCTGCGTTGCGGCCACGGCAAGGGCCCTAGGGGTCGTCCTCGCCTTCGCTGGCGCCGCCGGGCTCGGCCTCAAGGGACGCGCGCCGCTCTCGGGCCAGCGAGGACGTCAGGCCCTGGGCCCGGAGGAGGAGGCCACCGCCCAGGAACAGGACCCCGCAGAGCACCAGCAGCGACAGCACGCCCAGCACAGCCGCCTGCACGACGCGGGGCCCCTCAGGGGGCTCCGGCGTCCCCCCCGACTGGTTGCAGCAGGAGCTCAGCCAGGTGGCTGGGGCCGCAGCGCCCGCCCGGGAGCCGTTCATGCTAAGGCGCCGGCTGCCCAGATGTGCGCGGGGAGGGCCAGATGTGCGGGAGCCCAAGCGGGCGGGCGGGCCTCCGCGCGCGGCTGCTGCTGCTGCGCAGGGAGGTCCCCGAGGGGCGGATCCCAGGCACCGTGGCTCCCACCCTGCACGCAGAGCGCTCTGGCTCTGGCTCCTCCGGTGGGGACTATGGCCCAGGCTCCTTCTTGTCCCGAAGGCCTCCACACCCACGCGTCAGAATCCTGCCCGTGCACCCAACCAGCCAAACCGGGGTCCGGTCCCCAAGGCTTTCCCTGTCCCTTGGCAAAGGAAGTCAAGAGAGCACCTCCCTCAGAACCCTGAAAAAAGCCATTCAGAGCGCTGGAGTGCTGCCCCACTAAGCAGGACACAAGACAAGCAAGGATTCGGGGCGTCCTGGAGCCAAAGGCCCATACTGCCAGGTGGCCCAGGAACGGGAGGCAAATGAGCAGCCTCCAGGACCTAAGGGGTGCACATCCTTACTCCTCCATCAGCCCTCCTGGGAGCCCCTTGGAGTTGGACAAGCAGGTTAATGCCTCCTTGGGGCGGCAGCAAGGGGAGATGGAGGGGAGGGGAACTTCAAGTCCTAATCCCACCCCCCACCCCTCACCCCTCATTTCTTTGCTCAGGCCCCAGAGGTCCAGATGAGAAAGTGGATTTGAGTCACCAGGGCTCCTGTTCCCACCTTGAGTAAACCAGTCCCCTACGTCTGGTTAGTCATAATGCCAAAAGGAACAGAAAGGTTCCAGTCCTGTCCACCAAGGGGACCTCACTGCCAGGTGGGTGTCCCACTGCGATGGGGTCGGGCGGGTGGAGCAGAGTCTGGCTGCAGGAAAGTAAGAGTCTCAAAAAGCTGAGATGGAGGGAAGAAGACCTTCCTGAAAGGCAGCAACCTTGAGCTCTCTCTTCAAAAACAAAGTGATGGCCAACAAACAGCTCTATCAGCCAACCAACCACTCAGGAGGGATTAGCTGATGGCCAGCTTGGAGGAAAAGATGATCCCCAGACTGCAGCAGGCCAGGTAGGGATTACACACCATCAAGGACTTGTTGGGAAGTGGCCTTCCCCATCTCCAAAGCCCTGAGAACCTCCTGAGTTCTCCCAATGCCCCAGAGATCAAGGGCAAGACTTCACAAGATCTGTTGTGAACTAGCACAGGGCCAAGGTGGCTTGGAATGGGAGAGATCTGCAGACACTCCTGCCGTCCCACCCGTGGCTCCAGGACCACGGGCAAGACCCCGCCACCCCCCACTCCATTTAGCCGGGCGGAACTGCCCATATACAGCCAAAAAGTATGATAAATTAGAGAATAAATCAGTAAGAAGTACACAAGGAGGAGTTCACGGATTTGGAGTATGCTCGAATGCAGAAACGAGTGTTACAGCAGTGTCCTAACAACCGGCAAGGGCCAGCCTGACCTGGAGGAAGTGTCATCAGACACTCATCTCAAGTGGGCCAATCTCTCTCCAGAGAAGGAAACCCCCAATTAACTGAGCTTTCTGGTGGGGGCGCCTGGGTGGCTCAGTGGTTGGATGTCTGCCTTCGGCTCAGGTCACGATCATGTGGGATCGAGTCCCACATCGGGCTCCCGTCAGGCAGCCTGCTTCTCCCTCTGCCTGTGTCTCTCATGAATAAATTAAGAAGAAAATATTTTTATTTTTTTTTAAAGATCTTATTTATTTATTCATGAGAGACACAGAGAGAGAGGGAGGCAGAGACACAGGCAGAGGGAGCAGCAGGCTCCATGCACAAGAAGCCCGACGTGGGACTCGATCCCGGGACCCCAGGATCACACCCTGGGCTGAAGGCAGACAGACGCTCAACCGCTGAGCCACCTGGGCATCAAAAAAAATTTTTTTTTCAATGGGTTTTCTGGTGCACATGGGGAGCTGTATGTGCTCTATGAAGGCAGAGAAGATTCTCTCTGAAGCCATCGTCAAACAGGACCAGATAATAAAAGGGCAGGGATGTCACAGCTTCCTGAGGAAGCGAGAAGAAACAGCAATCCTATCCAAAAGTAACAGCTCCAGATGTGTCATCATTCATAGGACTGACCGCAGTGACACCTGGGTGGTTAACACGGGCTTACGTGAATGTCCAACAAGGTACAGAATTGGTCAGTTTTAACGTCTCCCATCCCCCCCCTTCATGGTGGAATAATGCCTTAACACACACCTATATCCTCGCAGGTCCGCCACAAAGTGTTGATGTTCCCGGACAGAACACAAGCCAAGGGAGAGACGGCTCAAGCTAAACACATTCTCAACTTTATTCAGCATCCTAGCGATGGCTCTTCCGTACAGTGGAGGAAGGGACACCCCCCCAATAGGGCCCTAGAGGGACAGTGAAGCCCAGACTTGACCATTAGCCAAGGTTAAAGGGATGACCAAAGATTGGCAACCGCAGAACAAGGAAGCCAGGGGTGGCCATTCCAAGTCTCCTCAAGGACCTGGAGCAGGTTCCAGAGCCCCAAGGGCCCAACAGTCCGATCCCCAGAAGCCCAGGTCTGCAAGCCATCCAGGAGAGCCCATGGCCCCCGCAGGCCTAGAGGGCCAGGGTGTCTTTGATGAGCCTGCGCATGGTGGTGGTGACCGACGTGCCTAGAGCATCAGTAATCTGGAAGGAAATCTTGTAGAGGTAGGGCTGCACATCCCGCAAGCCCGTGTCGAACACATTGTCCACCTCCGACTGCGTGGGCATCTTGGGCAGGTATTCGTGCCTGTTCATCACCTCCACAATGTTGATGACCTTCTCACAGAGCTTCTCGCCCACCTTCTCCCGGCAGATCTGCCGCTCCTGCTCTGTGGCCAGGGCTACCACGTGCACCTTGACTGTCCACACTTCCCAGGGGATGCATTCGTCGGAGAAAGGCCAGCGAGACTTCTTCTTCTGGTAGAACTCCAGGGACATCTGCCCCAGCCCATCACCCCCAGAGTTGCGCAGCGCGTCCTGGGGAAGGAGGGGTAACAGATGAGCAGGCCAAGGCCTCGGAGAAGCTGGCTCCCTGGGAGCACCTGCTTCCTACACCCCAGGGAATGAGGCTCTCCTAGCTTTATTCGTCCTTCAGGGAGGCAGGGAATGAGACCCCCCCCCCCCCCGAGGACAAAGGACTCCTGTGAAGTGACACAGCAAACCGTCCGCCTAAACTCGAGTGCTCCAAGCAAACCAACAAAATCTCTCTCAAGAAAATCGGAAGAGGGGATTAAAGCCTCATGATCCTAGGGGCACCTGGGCGGCCCAGCGGCTGAGCGCCTGCCTTCGGCCCAGGTCGTGACCCCGGGGTCCTGGGATGGAGTCCCTGCATGGAGCCTGCTTCTCCCTCTGCCTGTGTCTCTGCCTCTCTCTCTCTCTCTCTCTCTCTCTCTGTGTCTCTCAGGAATAAATAGGTAAAATCTTAAAAAAAAAAAATAAAAGCCCCAGGATCCTTAACTAGAAAAAAGGAAACTAAGGGGTGCCTGGGTGGCTCAGTCGGTTTAGCATCTACCTTTGGCTCAGGTTATGATCCCAGGGTCCTTGGGATTAAAGCCTGTGGTGGGGAGGGAGCAATCCCTGCTCAACAGAGTCTGCTTCTCTCTATCTCAAATAAATAGGAAGGAAGAGAAGGAGGGAGAGAGGGAGAGAAGGAGGGAGGGAGGGAGGGAGGGAGGGAGGGAGGGAGGGAGGGAGGGAGGGAACCAGGAGTAAAAGGGGGGAGGGAGGGCAGCCCGGTGGCTCAGCGGTTTAGCGCCACCTTCAGCCCAGGGCCTGATCCAGAAGACCCAGGATCCAGTCACAGGTCAGGCTCCCTGCATGGAGCCTGCTTCTCCCTCTGCCTGTGTCTTTGCCTCTTTCTCTCTCTCTGTGTGTCTATCGTGAATAGATAATATCTTAAAAAAAAAAAAAAAAAAAAAGAAGGGGGAAGGGAAGAACAGAGCAGACCTGGCTTCTCCGTCTTCTCCTCTGGAAGCAAACGAGAGCACGGCACCCAGTAATTCGGGCCATCCCCTCACTCCAGGGGTGGGGGCCCCATTCCTCCTCCTAGGGCAGCCAGGCCCCGGCAGCGCCTTTCCATGGGAGTTGGGGCCAGCTCGGAGGGTAGAGATGCTTCCCTCAAGTCCTGAACTGTCCACCAAGGAATTAGTTCTCTCCTCTGTGGACAAAGTGAGGCCCCGGACCTCGGCTGGTCCTAACGCCAACCCCCTGGAATGCTAACTGCGGGCCCAGCTGGTTCACACACTTGACGCGATGGGTTCACCTGACCCCCTAGTGCCTTCGCCTCTGAGGCAGGCGCGATTATCAGTCCAACCTCACCCAGAGACCCCGAGGCCAGGAGGTGAGGTCACCTGCCCAAGGTCACACACTCAGGCTCCAGCCTCCAGGCTCTTAGCCATCGTACCTACGGGCCTCTTACAAGGCGTCCAGCGGACAGACAGCGACTAGCACGGCCGCCCTTCAAGGACTCGGAGACTCCTATGAACCTACCCTTTCTGGTCTCCGAGGGACTGGGCGGGGGACCCGGGGCCTGGCAGGGTCCACGTCCCGCCGTGAGCACATGCTGCCAGCACCACGTACGACTCTCCAAACGTTTGGGGAGTGGAGTCAGCCAAGAGCTCACAGATGGCACCTTACAAAAATGCCCGCACTCTAGCATTTAAAACAGCCCCTCACGGGAACAGTGCGACCGTGCAACCCTGCATGAAAACCCAATAAAAAATCAGCCCGACTCACACCACCGGAGGTGACCAGCACCCGCAGCCGCTGTGTCCCTCGCACCCTCCTCCAGGCCCACAGGGGCGGGCGCATGCAAACCTGTGCCACACGGCCCGGGGGGCTGCGCCACCGCAGGGCCGTCACCTGAGTGCAGCAAGCCTCCTGCTCAGGGGATCTCCCGGGGGAGACCCAGACTGCTGAAGGGAAGAGGGGCAGACGGAAGGCCCGGCCCACGGGGGTAACGATCATCGTAGGGCCCCCCACATCACTGCTGCAGGGCCCTCCTGCTCCCCCACCCTGGC